ACATATTAAGCATCATCCCATCTAATTCCTGCAGAAGATGAAGAAAATACAGAAATCACTTTTTGCAGCCACTGAGTCTTCTACTACTCAGACTCCCACTGGGCACATCCATATGTAGCTCTGGATTTATGGGAGAAATTGAATAGGAGACAGTTGCCTTTAAATCATCTGATTGTTACCTATATGCAGAGGCACAAGAGCAGTTCATTCTCTGTGCTGTGGTAGTGCCCAGAGGTGTGCTATGCATGCTGCAAAAGGGGAGGAGAATGTACSGCCTCTGCTTTGGAGAGCTCACCAAAACAGTATCAGCTTGTAATGGTTGTTCAGATTCTTTCAAAATGTAAATTTCAACATATATTSAGTAATACAGAACAGAGAAGCCTCTATATATTTACCAGATGGATCCATATACAGAACTAGTACAGACCTTAAAGACATATGGAATTTTGTGGTAGTTCTCAGTCGTTATCCACATACTGCTTGCTGATGTAAATTGATATAACAGACTGCAGTGACAGAAGTCCATCAGCAGAAACTTTTATTTCTTTGCAAGTCAGACATTTTGCATCCAAATGATTTAAATCAATTTTACTGTTTTATGCATGCACAATTTAATTATTATCCTGAAGGAATGCTGGGTTTAGTAATTGATAACTGTTAAGACACACTGTTTTGTAACCAGTTTCCTCCTGTGTGCTAAAGTTAGGGCTTAATTTGGTTAATTTGGAGGTTATGTTGAACCTACACCAACTTACACATGCAAATAATTATACTGATTTATTCAGGATTCTCATATTTACATTTCTATTGTATTAGGACTTTTTTATCTAAAGATTCATTATTTTTATTTATGATATCAACCAAGATACTTTTAAGAATATTCTAATTCAGTTAAAGACATATATRCTTTGTGTGGTGTTTCATCAGTTATGCAAAACTACCCTTAATGAATGGCATACCTAAGGAAAAGAAAAATCTCAGTTTATTAAAAATAAATATTATCTGTAAGTAGTTAATTGAAATTACTATCTCTGGCTACTGTTACCTTTAATCCTCTAGAAWTGTTAGATTCAGGCTCACTTTGTAGTTTTTTCTCTACATTTTAGGCTTTGAATTCCAATCACAGTTTTCCTTATCATCTTTTCCAATTCCATATTTAATTTAAATYGGTTAACTTTCTAAAGAGAAAAAATATGTGCAATTTAAAACTATGCTTTAAAATAAAACACTGATGTTTTGGGGAAGAATTCTTACGGTGACATTTATCTACCTGTTATAAATGGGATCTTTTTATTATTTAAGTGCCAACAGTGTGCTCTATGCTGTACAAGCCAAGAAGCCTAGACAGTCCCTTCAAAACGAATACGCTTTTTGAACAGAACGGGACAGAACCGATGCTCATGTACCTCCTTGCAGTGTGGCCACAGCTGATGTACTCAAAAGCAGCTTCCTGGCATTCTGTGCCGGAGATGCCAGTGCTCATTTCCAGACCATGGGAGAAGGACACAATAAGATGGCGGAAATCAATTGTCAAGACAAAATTCTCCTCTTGGGAGGTGACCGAGGAAGGTGACTAAACACTCCCTGACACTGATTCTGCTGCACATGAAAAAAACACAGTTGTAGTTGTGGAACAAGACTGCACTGCATGATCACTGTTCTGAAAACAGCAGGAAGGAGGGAGGGGAGAGAGACCGTTCTTTATGTTCTTCACAGTAAACTTGTTTGCTCGAGAAAAGAAGAAGTGAAGCAAAAAAAAAGCATGCATGTCTGATGCTGATGCCTAATGCACTGGAGAAATTGCTCAAAAGCAGTGCAGCCCTGAAGTGAAGCATGCTTTCCTCCCATTGTGAAGCCTAAGAACATTTGCAGTATAATATATATTCCTGTGCACACGCACTCACACACACAGAGAGGTATTTGTCTGGATAATTGCACATACTGAAGGTGCTACCTACTTTACCATTCACATAAAGTGTAAATGAAACACAAAAAAAGTCACTAAAACTAGCACTTTGAGTGTAACCACCATGCACTCAGCAAGTTCATGCCATACAAATCTGCTGTGCAATTATCTCCTCATGTTTGTGAGATTCGGACTCATTTAAATAAACTACCACATAAGCTTTCGCTATCAACAAACATTGTCCATTTTAGACTGAAAGCTTCATTTACAGAACATGACTTTGGRACAACATTGTTAAGATGTCCAGGCTGTGGCACTTGCTCAATGCTTTGTGAGTGAGCCGTGGGCAGCCTTATCCTGCACCTGGTATTCAGCCTTACTGTCATACTGTGTCACTTCTTGGTTTCACAAAGACATCTGCATATCTGATGGATTGTATAAGTCAGGTCCAGCTGACCTCTGGATATACAGTTAAGATTATAATTATATATAACTCCTGCCAAGGATTGTTTAGAAAACCTGTGCTGACTTCTCTGACAATGTTCCAGAGAGGGCCAAGCAGTTACTTGAGTAAACACTTTGTCTTTCTGTCCTCTTCATCCCGTGTGTACCTGAAATGTTACTGGTTTGTGGTTTACACTTGCTTGCAAAAGGGCACCAGAGCAGCAGGGCCGGGATCAGATAAGTGTAAAATGGAGTATAAGTATTGTTCTTTCTCTGTCTTTCTTCTAGGTCAAAGTAAACATGGGGACTACGTAAGATGGGCTGGAGGACCTGTCAAAAAATCTGTTTCAGGATGGCCTCCTGCTTCTCTTCAAAGAGAAAAGAAATCCAATTTTTGTGCTWAAAAAAAATATGTATAAAAGCTGATTGAACAGAGACAGGAAACAGAGACCTTCAGCCTCTCTTTCTAACAGGTACTAAAGGAGATGCCCCAGACCCCCTTCTTGGACCTCCTGCCTCCCAGCACTAGAGGGACAGAGCAGAGGCACTGGTGCCACCTTTTGTCCCTTCCTTTCCCTGGCCACCGCCAGCACGGCCCATCTGGATTAAGACATGGACTCAGCCCACTCAGTGCTTTGGGAGCCTCCTCCACACTCCAGGTCGTGTCGAGTCTCCTCAGCCAACACAACACTGGAATACCAGGATGACCTTGCAGCAGAAGTCAACAGACAGTGCATTGTTTGCCCTGAAGGCTGTACAGTTCATACTTGCCTTAACCCAACTGCGTTGCACATTAGAGAAACAACGTGCAAGCTTTCCGAAGTTAACATGCTGCTGTTAATTCTGAACGATTTCTAAGTCAGTGGTTTTCTTCTGTTTGGTTTTGCTTTGTTTTCTTGTCAGGGAATAAGGCTCTGCTGCTCCACGGCTCCAGAGCAACCAAGTAGAAAACTGCCAGCTGTCTGATAAGTGCTTTACTTTTGGGGCTCCACRGTGGTCAAGAAACAGTTTATTACAACTAAAATGAAAAATAAATAAAGAAATAAATGAGACCTTTTGGGGGTCAGGGTGGGGAAAGGGGTAACAGAAACTAATAATTGAACCTACTGGAAATAAGCAGCAGAAACAGTGCTTCTTAATCCCGCTGGTTTTATTTATTGCACTGTAGGTGCTTTTATAGCTATCTCTAAACATCTTTTACTAACTACAGAGACATCTGCAGATTTCTATCAACAAAGGCCAACTGAATATGTACTAGCTACGTTTACTCTTTTATATCTAATTTCAACTAAAAAATTCTCTGTAAGTGAGCGCTTTTTTTCCAATTACACCATAAGGGATCCACATATTTTATTTTTCGATTTCGGTTGGAGAGGGCAGGGAGGGACTAGTTGAGTTGAAGAAATACTGAAGACCTTTTTGTGGTACATTTGGGGGATCTGTTGTGTGTTAGAACGTGTATTTTATCTTCCTGTATTATTGTGGCTGAAAAAAAAACCCTGTGCTGTTACGTAGTTGGCAACAAGATGCCTTTGGGAATTTTGCTAGTAGGTCAATGTGTATATGAGATACTCTGAACTCCTGGGAACATATGTTTTATTCTACATCTGATCTGTATTTTCAAGAACGTAGATGGCTTTCACTAGGAAAACCCAATATTTTGCTCAGGTTTTTCAGAAACTTGGATTGTCATTGTTTCTTTGCTCAGACCTTGCATAGACAAACGCACGCACCAACCACACCTGAGGTGACCACGTAGCTTTTGAGGGCAAGAGGGAAGGTCAGCTCTTGGAAAGGCTCAAGGTAGCCCTGGGCAACTCCCTTTTCCCTGCTGGCCAAACCCCGGCTCCAAAAGCCTCACACCATTCACCCATCCCTGTACAAGGCAGTGCCCTTTGCTGTGTCTGCATGGATGTACAGTGTCACAAGCAGCAACTCTGGACAATGACAGAGGAACAGGCATTCTCCAGTGAAAACAAGACACGGGACATGTTCAGGAACGATACTTCCATTGATTCAGCAAGATTTATATAGATATAGATAGCGCTCTCTMTATATATATATGTAAGTGTGTGAATGTGTGTGTATGTCAATGTATATAAAATACACAGGACTAACTCTTGTTGGGGGCTGCATCACCCRGGAATGTTCCAGTGCAGTGGACCAAGGGCTCCCATCTCAGATACTGCTAGGAATTTCACCCATGAAACAGGCACGTCCCCTAGGCCTGATCCTGTAAAGCATTCATTGCTTTGGATCTCAAATTTCATTGATTTGGATCTCAAATTTAAATTATCATGCTTGGGTATCTGAAAATCTGAGTTCCTACTGGATAGAGCTGCTTTTGACCCCCGGGAAACCCCATGAAACTTCCAACTGCCAGGCTGAAATTTCCCTTAACTTGAAAAATTTTAAAACTTTCTACTTTTATGTAGTGTTAAATATAGCAGATGTATAGTRTTAAACACAATGAAGAGGTTTAAATGGAATGAAAATGTCATAACAGGTTATTTTATCTTTCCCTGTATACCAGTTAATCAAAATGATATTTCTATAAAAATCATTTTTTAACATGAAAAGAAACCAGTTGAGGCACCTAAGCAGCAATCCAATTTTCAGAAGATAATTTTTCATACCTTTTAGTGATTTCCCATGGAACAGCGGCTACTGGTAGTTAGCAATTTTAGAAGTCAGACAATTTAATGAAGTGTCTACACGTAGCTTATAGGCCTGATTTTAATTTAGAAAATTTTGGCCTTAATTTCTCTGTGTCTTAGTCTTCCCATCTATAATACGGGAATAATATGTGCCTCGCAGGCTTTTTGTGAGGTCTGAATTGTTAATGTTTGTAAAATGCTTAGGAAATAGGAAGCACATCTAACTACTATGGATTGCAATATTAATGTGTATTCATATATTACATATAGARTAGATACACACACTCACATACACACAGCATACATATATATATACACATACATACTTATATGAAGTTGGTATTCATAACCCTTCTTAAGTTGCAGTTAGAGCACCACCATTTAACAAATTAGGACTGTTGACTACTCAACTAAATGATTAGTGGACAGATCTCTTCTGGAAGCAGTTTAGAGCACAGTAATGTGAGAATATCTGGATGGCATTTTTGATTTGTACAGCTGTATCCTCCTCAAAATCCAGTAAAGAATGTTATTTTTCTAGGCTGGGCTTTTGTTATAAACTAAAATATTCAGAAGGCAAGAGATACAATCCAAATGTGTCCTTTTTTCTTTTCTTTTTGGCATTTGTTAATTCTGAATGTATTTTTAACAAAAGTGATTTTTTTGACTTACTAGTGTAATTTGCATTTTAAAAAAAAATAAATGGAAAAAATATAGGTTTCCAAGCTATTCATGGCCCCCTGCTGCTATTCAGAACTTACAGGAAACTCAGAATGACTGTTCCCAGCTGAGCAACAATGCAGGATAAAGAATCCTATTACATTTACATGATGACAATCCCGATCTGTGCAGTGCATGGATGTGACAGCCCTGAATAGAAATTGCCGGGTCACGACACCATTTTAACGCTGTCATATGTACCAGGTATTTTCATTATCACTGACACTAAAAGGTTTCTTTTACAAGGCTGACTGCAACAGACTCTATACTTAGGAAACAGGTCTGGTTTTGCCCACTCATCACAAATTTTAATGTGATAGGTATAGAATTGCCAACAGTGTTAAGTATTGCAAAAGTAATCCTCGTTAAGCAGGAACTATGTAACACGGATATTTCCACCGTATTCATATTCTTTTATATGCTGTTTATTGTCCCTAGAATTAAATGATGAAATCCTGTCCTGGGCAAAATGTTTATAGAGYTCACACATATTGGCAGCTTGCCTGAGGTCATTTAATAAAGGTGGAGCAGAATGATGCACATTTTGAAATACCCGGTCGTGCTCTCTTAGGATGATTTCTTAGAAAGAGAATTCTTTCTCTTTCATTAGGATTTTTTAGGTCTTCCATATAGTGCAARTGATACTTTTCAGTCAGGTAAGGAGAAATGGTTTGTGCTCCACTTGCTTAATTTAAGTGCAATGCACCACTGCTGCACAGCATTTTGAGAGTCTGGCACAGTTATGCATTGATCCCTGGATGCCTGGATAGGAATGGCTATTAACTCAGTGTCTTGTTTTGATCACTTGCATGCTTACCCTCCATTTGAGCACACTGGTAGTAGCCAAAGCAAGACTCCATACACCCTGCATCACTTCACCTTGTAATATTTTCATTTCCAGTCCTCTGTTTTGGTTTTAAATGCAAATATTAAGAGAAGGAGGAGTTTTCTCACAAAGACAGAAGGCCCCATGAATAGTCTGTGTGTTTGAATTGCTTTCTGACTGYCTACTGATGAGTAACTGGGATGAAATTGATGGACTTCTGGGGTTTGTTTTCTAGCCCTTCTGAATCAGGCTTCTTCCCAGCACACATGGACTGGCAGCAGGCACTGCAGGTAAGTCAGGTTTCATTGAAGAACCAAAGCACAGCAATACTGCAGACAGCACCGTGTCCATTGCTCCTTGGAGAAAGATGAAGACAGTTGTTATGCTAATTGGTCTGCCTCAAGCTGTGTGCAATATTAAATGCAATTACCATGCATAAAAGAAACTGCCCTTTAGACTGCAATTACTCATTCACATACAGAAGTGGCACAGCACAGAATTAATCAGGAAAATATATTTTCTTTCYGTTGTCACCAACATGCTTCACCTCCTGCCATGGATTGGAGAAATCAGCTCTGTTTGATCTCATGTCCTGATAAGTYTTTCTGTTCAGACCTTCACCAAGAGAAGAAATTGCAGCCAGTTAGGGTTGAGATCTTGGCATACTTGAGTGGTTTAGGAAGATATTGTACCAAATGTAAAGTTCTAAGTAGCATCATACATGCACTTGTTGCCCACCTCCCTCCATATGTACAAAAGAAGGGGKTTTTAAGATGCACTTTTCCTTTATATCTCAGAAACCAACACAGATGATGTCTTTCACAAGTGTCTTCTAAATCCTGCCAAGAACACAAATGAGATCTTTTAATAAAAAAATCCAATAAGAGCACCATCTTTGCTGCTCTCTGTTGAGCAGAAACTCTTGAGACTTCCAAACGCCTTGAGGTTATTATTTTGGATAGATAGGAGCACTGTGAAACCTGAGCACTAAAAAGCAAATAATGCTTATGATCATCTATGATTCAAAATAAAATCTTCTATACAAAAGCCATACTTCTGCATCCACCAGTGGAAAAGGGTCTTTATTGCCATCTGTGACCTAATCACTTTCCCAGCTTTGCCTTTGTCCTGCTGGAAAATAGGTTAAGGGAGGCTTAAGGTGAAGAAGCGTGTTCACATTCATCATGTGCTCTCCAACAGTCTCCCGTTTTGCCACACAGAATGATGTTTCATATCTATTTGATTTCTTTCTCCTCTCTCTCTTCTTGTCTCATTCTCACTCTCTCTTCCTGAGCACAACCCAAATACGTGCCCAAAATTACAAGCTGCCCTTTGTCACATCCATTGTTTCCAACTCAAATAAAGAYGGTGGTGGCAGTCATGGAGGGCAGTGTCACTGAGGATGTGCACAAAATGATGAGAAGAGGAAGCACAAGGTTATGTACATCCTCTAAAGGCCCCAACAGGGAGACATTTATCAGAATGGCAAATGTTGGCAGCATTACAGCATTACAAGCCATGAGATTCATCAAGGCGTGGTAGGAATCATTTTCACATGTGCAATTATATTTGCTAAAGCTATAGTTCACTGAGTGCACAGAAAGTCAAAAATATCCAGAGCTACAAAAAGCACRGGTGAATTAGAAGAAAATTCATAAAGCATGTTTGTGAACACATTTACTGGATTCAGATTAACATTCCAATTTCTTCACAATTGTCTCAGGATTGTGATTTTCCCCCTTGCAAACATTTAGATTGTTGGTTTCTGTGCAAGCAGGTGAATATTTTGTTCCTAGGAGAGCATGTACAATTGGTTTAATTTACATGGGATTCTCATTTTTGATGCATCTGTGTGCATTGGCGCTAAATGTTGGCTCAGTTCACTCAGTCATACATACRTACACCCACTATGTGAGTATATTTTATGGCATAGATCCATAACCACACACAGTCTTTCCCCTTTTCTACTTATCTTTTCSTATCCCTACTCTCAAGACATTCAAAGTCCCAAGTGTTTATTTTCTAGACAGGCATTTGGTATACAAAAATCATTATTTGGTTGTACAAGCATGGTGCAATCTATGAATACAATAAATAAGACAGTCCTTTCTGCAAAGAGTTTATGTGATAAAGTAAATAAATGATAATATTTCAGTTAAGGAAAAAAAGAAAAATATGATTTCATAGTCTCACTCTGCTGTTAAATTTCAGTTAATCAAAGAAGAGAGTGACAAAAAAAAAAACAGAAAAAAGAGTAGATCAGGGAAACAAGAACTTGGAGTACATTTATAAGGTGACATAGTTAGTTACAGCATGTACGTAAAAGAATTGCGTAAAAGAATCAGCCATTTATGTCATACTAGGGTATCCAATTAATTTATGATAGCTCTATATAGATGTACTATATCCTATCTCTCATTTTAAAGGCATTTAAAACAGTAGCTATGGAAGAAAAACAACATCAAAGGGACTGCACATTGATGTAATCACAAAAGGTTGATGGATTGATTCAATTAATCAGGGACTCATTTCTAAGAGTTCTGCAGGGATTTATTTACCAAACACTTACATTGTTTATTTTGCTCTCTGGAGGGTTTGTATATTGTCATTTTTCTTCATTATTCTCCTTGTTTCATTCATCAATTTCTGACAAATGTTTTCATGCTGATATGTGGCATGTTAGGCATGYAAATTGTTCACATTTACTGATTTAAAGCAGTACACTCCAAACTTCCAGTAGATGACAACTTTTGTTTATTTCCCTCAGGTCCTGARAAACGCTAGCCATCTATAATTAATATAAAGATGTGTTTTCCATTTAATCTTTGCTTTCAGTGTCTGCTCAACCTGACAAGGATGTAAGTTCTTGTCTGGCATAACCTGCTTAAACTTTAGACAGAAACTTACTATAAAAAACGTTTTGAACACTCCCAACACTAAATAGAATAACTGCTCCCTCTCTGGCTTTTCCTTACATTTTGTAGTTCAAATCCAGGAAAACAATGCAATAGTGTTTTAAGAAGGACAGCAGTTTCACCACATTTTCCGTAGGTTTAGATAACTTTTTTACCAGGGCAAATAGTGATGGGACAAGGAAGAATGGTTTTGGTAGTGAAAGAGWGCACCTTGGATTAGATACTCAGAAAAAATAGTTTCCTTTGAGAGTGGTGAGGCACTGGAACAGGTTGTYCAGAGAAGTTATGGATGCCCCATTCCTGGAAGTGCTCAAGACCAGCTTGGATGGTGAGTGAATCAACAATTACAGGTAACCACAGGCAGCCATCAAACCACAACCAAAATTCAAAGAGTGTRTTTATTTCATCACCTCACTAACAATGCTGGGCAGCAGGGACACTCAGGGACACAGGCTCCACCCTGTTTAGTTCATCCCRGCAGGCTGCAGCAATCTGGTCTAGTGGAAGGTGTCCCTACTTATGGCCAGGGTTTTGGAACTAGATGATCTTTAAGGTCCCTTCCAACTCAAACCATTCCACATTTCTATGATTTTCTACTTTAATWCTGTCAGAGCATGTACTYCAAAGTCAATACACAGAAATGGCCAAAAATCAGATCAAGTCACAGCTTACAAAATGGGAGATACTGGGTACAACAGAGGTCTGTGAAAGATAAAAAAACTGAAACAGAAAGGAAACCATTCTTTGAAAGTGTTGAGTCTCATTTGGGCAAATATTTTTATATTAAATTATCAGGAATATTGGAACATCTATTTTTTTTTTTTTTAAAGACTGATGTTCATTGCATACATATATACAGCATGKGTGATTCACAGGCATCTTCAGCATTGGTCTAATTCTTACTTCACTTTTAGGTGGCTAGGAACAACTTTTCAGGAAAAGTAAAATATCACAGACCCAGAGACAGCAGCCATGGCAGCTTGCATCATGTGACAGCCTTCCCCATTGGATTTAGAAAACCCCACCCTATCTATTAAACCTGTTGTAACAGACAGATGGAGAGAGAGAGTTGTCAGTGATACCCAGTGACACCCACTGAAACACAGGAGGTTCCCTCTGAAMATTAGGAAACACTTTCTTACTGAAAGAGTCACCGAGAACTAGCACGGATTGCCAAAGGAAGTTGTGGGATCTYCATCCCTGGAGACAGTCAAAGCTTGACTGGACATGGASCTGGGCAATGTTCTGAAGGTGGCTCTGTGTGAGCAAAGTTGTTGGACTAAATGATTACCAGGTGCAGCTTCCAGCCTCAGCCATTCTCTGATTCTGTGATTTGTCCCTTATTCAAGCTACATTATTTTCCCCATTGGAAACACTCCTGGTATCTCAAGAGGATGCAAATATCAATCAGGGTCAGGGGAGTCTCAGAATTAACTTTTAGAGTGAAAATAAAAGGTCTGTGTATTAAGAGAGAAAAAKAAATATTTTCAGGAAAAACCCTATCAGTTTCTATGATATATTGGTTATTATTGTTCCTTTATTTGAGACTTCTTTATTTGGCTACTTGGATGAAATCCCAGCTCCATTAAGGTCAGTGGGAATTTTGCTGGTTTTTTCAATGAGATTTCAAGATCTCATACTTTGCAATTAAGATGCCTGCATATTTGCTTTTCTTCAAAAACAAAAACTCACATCCATCATCCTCAATAATTTTTAAATGTTCAACAAAAAATGAGATTTTTTTTTTCCTCTTTCATGCTCAGCATTCGCAAAGTTCATGGTCTGGTGATATAAAAATTTTATCTGTACTCATTTGTGCTGACCCATATAACTTGCTCATTGCCACATTTGTGCCAGTAAAATCTTTCTATCATTCCCATTCCTCTGTGTATTTCACTTCATATGAATGAATGTCACCCAGGAGAGTAACACCCTGGGAGATTTTCTGCAAAACATGAGTATTAAGGAAAAGTCAAAAGACATTTGCATAGGTATTTGGCCAATGTGATAGTAGGAATCTGCTACATGATGTCTTTTCCCTTTATGAATAAATGCTCAATATTAGTTTTAACCCAGAATTCTCAGTGTAAATATTTCACATCCTTCTGGCTTCTTGTTCAGTTGCACATAGCTCCTCAGACTTGATAAGATTTCCATTGAGCAAACTGATTCAGCAGCAGGTAAACTTTTGCACATAAACAGAAAGATAAAGCACAATGTCAAAAGATGTGCTTCTGGAAATCAGATACTTTCACCAAAGGCATTTCTCAGTCTAGAGTTTCTCCTGTGAAAAAAATGCATCTTGTTCATTAATTTACAGCCTGGAATGTAGTTCCAGACAAAACTCTGTGTTCAGACAAGACTCCCACCCTGACAGTCACTGTCAACCTCCTACTCGTCTCTCTGAAAGGATACAGATGAGAAATAAGCACTGCTCCTTCAGGCCTGTGCCCTTGAGCTTGTCCATCTCACACCTGAGACTGATGCCCCTGACAGTATCCGTTCTCATGGGCATGTTTAGTTATTGAACTGAGMCTCTGGTGAGTGCCAGGTAAAATTAAATAGGGTGTCTACATCCTTAGTGGCAAAGCACCCAGGGTGCCAGCGGTGCTGTCACCTGAGCAGGGACAGATCTAGGCACAGAGGGAGTAGAAAAGTCCTTCCAGCAGGGGCAATCAGGAAGGACAGCAACATCTATGTCCCTGATCCCTGCTTCTGCCAGTCCCAAACACCCCCCTCCCTGCTCCATCACCAATAGCACCCAGAGCTGACCAATGGTACCACCCAAGAGATCACATCCTCCTGGCACCAGCAGGATAAACAAGAGTGCACCTGTAGGAATCACTTGCAAAGTCTCTGTTTGAACTCAGATCATGTCATCTTGTAAGAGATGCAGTTAGATTTTTTTCTGGCAACAGCCGTTTAAACTTCAAGTGGCAAAGCCTTGTCTTGCTTCACTTTGGACTTAAGAGTGAGTTCGATTAGAGGAGCAATTTGGTAAGCAGGAACAATTCTCCCATTTTTTTGCATTAAGAAAGATATAGTTCAGGTACACTTCTAAGAAACAAACTGCATGTGGAAAAAGATAATTCACTGTTTGAACTTGAACATATTCAAGCCTTCTTTATGGATGTGAAGACATGCTAAGTCA